GTAAATCTGGTCTTTTTTTTTTGTGAGTTAGAATTATGCTCTACATCCTTCTCCAGCTCTGTCCGGAACCCTCTGTTGTGATCCCGGTCAGAGCACAAAAGGGGGAATATACTCTCCATGTTTTTTTTTGTTTGTTTGTTTTTATTGTGCTTTAGGTGAAAATTTGCAGAGCAAATTAGTTTCTCATTAAACAATTAATACATAAATCGTTTTGTGACATTGGTTGCCAACCCCACGATGTGTTAACACTTTCCCCTTCTCCACCCCGGGTTCCCTGTTTCCGTTCGTCCAGTTTTCCTGTCCCTTCCTGCCTGCCTTCTTGTCTTTGCTTTTCAGCTTTTTGCCCATTTAGCCTTGTACATGGTTGAACTATAATGCATGTTCCTCACATGCATCATTTGCCGTATAGACCTGTCTAATCTTTGGCTGAAGGGTGAACCTGAGGAATGACTTCAGTATTGAGTTACAAGGGTGTCCAGAGGGCCATACTCTCGAGGATTCTCCAGTCTCTGTCAGACCGGCAAGACTGGTCTTTTTTTTTTTTTTTTTGTGAATTTGAATTTTATTCTATATTTTTCTCCCTCTCTGTCTGGGACCCTCTATTGTGATCCCTGCCAGAGCAGTCAGTGGTGGTAGCCGGGTACCATCTACTTGTTCTGGGCTCAGTCTGGCGGAGGTTGTGGTAGTTGAGATATATTAATCCTTTGAAATAATCTTTCCCTTGTGTCTTTGGTTTTCTTCATCGTCTTTGCTCCATCTGGGATGGGACCAGTAGATGTATCTTAGATGGTTGCTTGCAGGCTTTTAAGACCCTAGAGCTACTCATCACAGTTGGATGTAGAACATTTTCTTTATAAACTATGTTATGCCAATTGAGCTAGATGTCCCCTGAGACCATGGTCCCCAGCCCTCAGCCCAGTAACTCAGTCCCTCAGGGAGTTTGGAAATGTCTATGAAGGCTCTATGACTTTTCCTTGGTCCAGCTGTGCTGATTCCCCAGTATCGTGTACTGTCTTACCCTTCACCAAAGTTACCACTTATCTACTATCTAGTTAGTGTTTATCCTTCCCTACCCTTCCCCTCCCTCATAACTATTAGATTGTTTCTTTCTGTATGTAACCTTTTTCTGAGTTTTTATAATAGTGATCTCAAACAGCATTTGTCCTTTTGTGATTGATTTATTTCACTCAGCATAATGCCTTCCAGATTTATCCATGTTGTGATATGTTTCACAGATTCCTCATTATTCTTTATAATTGCATAGTATTGCATTGTGTGTATGTACCATAGTTTTGTTTATCCATTCTTCTGTTGATGGGCACTTAGGTTATTTCCATCTTTTAACTATTGTGAATAATGCTGCAATCACATCTATTTGTGTCATGGCTCTTATTTCTCTAAGATATAGTCCTAGGAGTGGAATTGCTGGATCGCATGGTATTTCTATTTCTAGCTATTTAAGTAAGCACCATATTGTTTTCCAAAATGGTTGTACCATTTTCATTCCTACCAGCAGTTCATCAGAGTTTCAGTCTCCCACAACCTCTCCAATGTTTGTTATTTTCTATTTTTTAAATTAGTGCGAGTAATGTCAGGGTGAGATGGTACCTCATTGTAGTTTTGATTTGCATTTCTCTAATGGCTAGTGATCACGAGCATTTCCCCATGCATCTGTTAGCTGCCTGAATATCTTCTTTGGTGAAGTGTCTGTTCATATCCTTTGCCCATTTTTTAATTGGATTATTTGTCTTTTTGTTGTAAAGGTGTTGGATTTTTCCTACGGATTTTAGAGACTGGACCTCTGTCGGATATGTCATAGCCAAAATATTTTCCCAGTGTGTAGGTTCTCTTTTTACTCTTTTGGCGAAGTCTTTTGATGAGCATAAGTGTTTAATTTTTAGAAGACCCCAGTTATCTAGCTTATCTTTTGGTGTTTGTGTATTGTTATTTATGGTGTGTATGCTATTTATGCTGTATATTAGGGCCCGTAGCGTTGACTCTGTTTTTTCTTCCATGATCTTTATGTTGTTGTTAATTGCCATCAAGTCAATTCTGACTCATAGCCCTCCTGTGTACAACGGAATGAAACACTGCCTGGTCCTGAGCCATCCTCACAATCGTTGTTATGCTTGAGCCCATTATTGCAGCCACTGTGTCAATCCATCCACTGAGGGTTGTCTTAGGCTGGGTTCTCTAGAGAAGCAAAACCAGTAAAGCATATAAATATATATATGGAGAGAGAGATTTATACCAAGGAAATGGCTCATGCAGTTGTAGAGGCTGTAACATCCCAAGTCCGTGGGTCAGGAAAGAGGCTTCTCCTGATTCACATAGCTGCAGGGGCTGTTGAACCCAAGATCTGCAAGCCGGAGAGCAGGGCTGTTGCTCAAAGGCTGTGAAGGTCAACGAATCCCAAGATCAGCAGACAAGACCATAATTAAGCTGCTAGTTCAAGTCCCAAGAACTGGAGGTCAGATGAACAGGAGCCAGCTGCAGAATCCAGAATGAACAAAAGCCCTCAAGCCTTGCCTAATGCAGGCCACATGCCCAAGGAAACTCCTCTTCAGCTGATTGGCTACTCACAGCAGATCCCACCATGGGGGTGATCACATATCAAATCTCAGCAGGGAAGGGATCACAACATTATATGACTGCCAAAACACTGAAAGTCATGGCCCAGCCAAGTTGACACACAATCTTAACCATCACAAAGGTCTTCCTCTCTTTTGCTGACCCTCTACTTTACCAAGCATGATGTCCTTCTCCAGGCACAGGTCCATCTTCATAACATGTCCAAAGTATGTGAGATGAAGTCTCGCCATCCTCACTTCTAAGGAGTATTCTGTCTGTACTTCTTCCAAGACAGAATTGTTCATTCTTCTGGCAGT